CATTTCCTCTCAAAAGTCATGTTACGGTAATATGATTCTATCATTTCCTCTCACAAGTCATGTTACGGTACTATCATTCTATCATTTCCTCTCACAAGTCATGTAACGGTACTATCATTCTATCATTTCCTCTCACAAGTCAAGTGACGGTAATGTCATTCTATCATTTCCTCTCACAAGTCATGTTACGGTACTATGATTCTATCATTTCCTCTCACAAGTCATGTTACGGTACTATCATTTGATCATTTCCTCTCACAAGTCATGTGACGGTAATGTCATTCTATCATTTCCTCTCACTAGTCAGGTTGCGGTACTATCATTCTATCATTTCCTCTCACAAGTCATGTTACGGTACTATCATTCTATCATTTCCTCTCACAAGTCAAGTGATGGTACTATCATTCTATCATTTCCTCTCACAAGTCATGTGACGGTAATGTCATTCTATCATTTCCTCTCACAAGTCATGTTACGGTTCTATCATTTCCTCTCACAAGTCAGGTTACGGTACTATCATTCTATCATTTCCTCTCACAAGTCATGTTACGGTACTATCATTCTATCATTTCCTCTCACAAGTCATGTTACGGTAATGTCATTCTATCATTTCCTCTCACAAGTCATGTTACGGTACTATCATTCTATCATTTCCTTTTACAAGTCAAGTGACGGTTATGTCATTCTGTCATTTCCTCTCACAAGTCATGTTATGTTACTATGATTCTATCATTTCCTCTCAGAAGTCATGTGACGGTAATGTCATTCTATCATTTCCTCTCACAAGTCATGTGACGGTACTATGATTCTATCATTTCCTCTCACAAGTCATGTTACGATACTATGATTCTATCATTTCCTCTCACAAGTCAGGTTACGGTAATGTCATTCTATCATTTCCTCTCACAAGTCATGTTACGGTACTATGATTCTATCATTTCCTCTCACAAATCATGTTACGGTACTATCATTCTATCATTTCCTCTCACAAGTCATGTGACGGTAATGTAATTCTATCATTTCCTCTCACAAGTCATGTTACGGTTCTATCATTTCCTCTCACAAGTCAGGTTACGGTACTATCATTCTATCATTTCCTCTCACAAGTCATGTTACGATACTATCATTCTATCATTTCCTCTCACAAGTCAGGTTACGGTACTATCATTCTATCATTTCCTCTCACAAGTCATGTTACGGTACTATCATTCTATCATTTCCTCTCACAAGTCATGTGACGGTACTATCATTCTATCATTTCCTCTCACAAGTCATGTTACGGTAATGTCATTCTATCATTTCCTCTCACAAGTCATGTTACGGTTCTATCATGTCCTTTCACAAATCAGGTTACGGTACTATCATTCTATCATTTCCTCTCACAAGTCATGTTACAGTACTATCATTCTATCATTTCCTTTTACAAGTCAAGTGACGGTAATGTCATTCTGTCATTTCCTCTCACAAGTCATGTTATGTTACTATGATTCTATCATTTCCTCTCACAGGTCATGTGACGGTAATGTCATTCTATCATTTCCTCTCACAAGTCATGTTACGGGACTATGATTCTATCATTTCCTCTCACAAGTCATGTTACGGTACTATCATTCTATCATTTCCTCTCACAAGTCATGTGACGGTAATGTCATTCTATCATTTCATCTCACAAGTCATGTTACGGTTCTATCATTTCCTCTCACAAGTCAGGTTACGGTACTATCATTCTATCATTTCCTCTCACAAGTCATGTTACGGTACTATCATTTTATCATTTCCTCTCACAAGTCATGTGACGGTAATGTCATTCTATCACTTCCTCTCACAAGTCATGTTACCGTACTATCATTCTATCATTTCCTCTCACTAGTCAGGTTACGGTACTATCATTCGATCATTTCCTCTCACAAGTCATGTGACGGTAATGTCATTCTATCATTTCCTCTCACAAGTCATGTTACCGTACTATCATTCTATCATTTCCTCTCACTAGTCAGGTTACGGTACTATCATTCGATCATTTCCTCTCACAAGTCATGTGACGGTAATGTCATTCTATCATTTCCTCTCACAAGTCATGTTACGGTTCTATCATGTCCTCTCACAAGTCATGTTACGGTACTATGATTCTATCATTTCCTCTCACAAGTCATGTTACGGTACTATCATTCTATCATTTCCTTTTACAAGTCAAGTGACGGTAATGTCATTCTATCATTTCCTCTCACAAGTCATGTGACGGTAATGTCATTCTATCATTTCCTCTCACAAGTCATGTTACGGTTCTATCATTTCCTCTCACAAGTCAGGTTACGGTACTATCATTCTATCATTTCCTTTCACAAGTCATGTGACGGTAATGTCATTCTATCATTTCCTCTCACAAGTCATGTTACGGTACTATCATTCGATCATTTCCTCTCACAAGTCATGTGACGGTAATGTCATTCTATCATTTCCTCTCACTAGTCAGGTTGCGGTACTATCATTCTATCATTTCCTCTCACAAGTCATGTTATGTTACTATGATTCTATCATTTCCTCTCACAAGTCATGTGACGGTAATGTCATTCTATCATTTCCTCTCACAAGTCATGTTACGGTACTATGATTCTATCATTTCCTCTCACAAGTCATGTTACGGTACTATCATTCTATCATTTCCTCTCACAAGTCATGTGACGGTAATGTCATTCTATCATTTCCTCTCACAAGTCATGTTACGGTTCTATCATTTCCTCTCACAAGTCAGGTTACGGTACTATCATTCTATCATTTCCTTTCACAAGTCATGTGACGGTAATGTCATTCTATCATTTCATCTCACAAGTCATGTTACGGTTCTATCATTTCCTCTCACAAGTCAGGTTACGGTACTATCATTCGATCATTTCCTCTCACAAGTCATGTGACGGTAATGTCATTCTATCATTTCCTCTCACTAGTCAGGTTACGGTACTATCATTCTATCATTTCCTCTCAAGTCATGTTAGGGTACTATCATTTTATCATTTCCTCTCACAAGTCATGTGACGGTAATGTCATTTTATCATTTCCTCTCGCAAGTCATGTTACCGTACTATCATTCTATCATTTCCTCTCACTAGTCAGGTTACGGTACTATCATTCGATCATTTCTTCTCACAAGTCATGTCACGGTACTATCATTCTATCATTTCCTCTTACAAGTCAAGTGACGGTAATGTCATTCTATCATTTCCTCCCACAAGTCATGTTACGGTACTATCATTCTATCATTTCCTCTCACAAGTCATGTGACGGTACTATTATTCTATCATTTCCTCTCACAAGTCATTTTACGGTAATGTAATTCTATCATTTCCTCTCACAAGTCAAGTTACAGTACTATGATTCTATCATTACCTCTCACAAGTCATGTCACGGTACTATCATTCTATCATTTCCTCTTACAAGTCAAGTGACGGTAATGTCATTCTATCATTTCCTCCCACAAGTCATGTTACGGTACTATGATTCTATCATTTCCTCTCACAAGTCATGTTACGGTACTATCATTCTATCATTTCCTCTCACAAGTCATGTGACAGTACTATCATTCTATCATTTCCTCTCACAAGTCATGTTACGGTAATGTCATTCTATCATTTCCTCTCACAAGTCATGTTACGGTACTATGATTCTATTATTTCCTCTCACAAGTCATGTCACGGTACTATCATTCTATCATTTCCTCTCACAAGTCAAGTGACTGTAATGTCATTCTATCATTTCCTCTCACAAGTCATGTTACGGTACTATGATTCTATCATTTCCTCTCACAAGTCATGTTACGGTACTATCATTCTATCATTTCCTCTCACAAGTCATGTAACGGTACTATCATTCTATCATTTCCTCTCACAAGTCAAGTGACGGTAATGTCATTCTATCATTACCTCTCAAAAGTCATGTTACGGTACTATGATTCTATCATTTCCTCTCACAAGTCATGTTACGGTACTATCATTCAATCATTTCCTCTCACAAGTCATGTGATGGTAATGTCATTCTATCATTTCCTCTCACTAGTCAGGTTACGGTACTATCATTCTATCATTTCCTCTCACAAGTCATGTTGCGGTACTATCATTCTATCATTTCCTCTCACAAGTCATGTGACGGTACTATTATTCTATCATTTCCTCTCACAAGTCATTTTACGGTAATGTAATTCTATCATTTCCTCTCACAAGTCAAGTTACGGTACTATGATTCTATCATTACCTCTCACAAGTCATGTCACGGTACTATCATTCTATCATTTCCTCTTACAAGTCAAGTGACGGTAATGTCATTCTATCATTTCCTCCCACAAGTCATGTTACGGTACTATGATTCTATCATTTCCTCTCACAAGTCATGTTACGGTACTATGATTCTATCATTTCCTCTCACAAGTCATGTAACGGTACTATCATTCTATTATTTCCTCTCACAAGTCAAGTGACGGTAATGTCATTCTATCATTCCCTCTCACAAGTCATGTTACGGTACTATGATTCTATCATTTCCTCTCACAAGTCATGTTACGGTACTATCATTCGATCATTTCCTCTCACAAGTCATGTGATGGTAATGTCATTCTATCATTTCCTCTCACTAGTCAGGTTACGGTACTATCATTCTATCATTTCCTCTCACAAGTCATGTTACGGTACTATCATTCTATCATTTTCTCTCACAAGTCAAGTGATGGTGATGGCATTCTATCATTCTATTTAACAAAAATTGGAGGAGAAAAAGAGAGGTGAAAGATACCGAAGGGACATTCAAACTCATAAGTCGAAAATAAACTGACAATGCCATGGCTAAAAAAAAAGAAAAAGACCAACAGACAAACAATAGTACACAAAGCACAACATAGAAAACTATAGACTGAGCAACAAATTGTCTTTGAGTGTGTTCATGAGGTATGCGTACATTCTTTTTGACATACATGATGAAATTTCCAAATTTCAAACTTAATTTTTTTTTTTCAGATTCCATCAAGAAAGGGCAACAGTCTGCCATGTTAAATCGTTTATTAGGGAAGGGAAGCTATGAATCTTTTGATATGAGATGCATGGTGACCGGCCAATTTTCAGTAGGGAAATCGACTCTTGTGAAGCTGTTAGCTGGTGATGTCATACCAGAAGGGCGACATCCCACTGATGGAATTTCTCTCGTTGAAGGTCGCTGTGGCCTTGATATTGAGACAAAAAGTTGGATTCTTATTGATCCAGGTGAGAAAAGGCACAAGTAGAAACATCTAACCATATTTTAAAAAACGCTGTTGTGTGGACCGCTGCGTTTTATATATAAGCAGACATGTTAAAGCACTGATTTAGATAGTATCACATTGTAGTCATATATTTTGTAACTTCTTTTCAGGCACCAAATTAATTCAATATTAAATATCATTTGTTAATGAAAATCTTAATATTATTGTTAAAAAAATGATTTTAAGGTTTTTATATTTTGATATTTACTTTTTTTAATGTTAAAATCATGCAGTGAATTGACATTTATTTTCCACAATCAATGATTTCATCAATCAATCAGTTAAAATGCCTCTCTGTAAAATATTTTAATAGCATCATTTGAGTGTTACACCTGATAACAAAGGTTTTATACAACCCCAAAAAAATGTGCGGTCGTGTATTGGTATCACGTCGTCAGCGTCGTCCTAAGACATTTGGTTTCCAGACAATAACTTTAGTATAAGTTAATAGAAATCTATGAAATTTAATCACAAGGTTTATAACCACAAAAGGAAGATTGGGATTGATTTTGGGGGTTATAGTCCTAATAGTTTATTAAGTTATTGTCTTGAGGTGATTAGCTGTCAATTTATTTTTAGAAGTTACTATTAAAAATGCTGATTAAGGAATATTAATTTTAGACATGATTATGTATGACATTTTCTATTTTTAAGACTTTTATGATGTATTTAAATGGGTAATTATGGTTGCAATATCCATTGGAAATTTGAATTGAGATAATGACCATATCTTTAGGGAAAGAATTTTTTTTTTTGGAGAAAAGGGGGGGTAAAAAAGAAATTGGGGGGGGGGGGGGAACATTTTTTTTTTCTCATTTCAGATTTCAGAAATTAAAAAGAAAATTTTTTCAAATATTATTTTTTTATGCAAAAAAAGGGGGGGGGGGGTAATTTTTTTTTTTTGGGGGGGGGGTCAATTCGCAACAGCATAGTGTATTGCACAAAAGCAAAAAATTGAATATAAATTCAAATCATATAACCAATTCTAAGTTTTTTGACTACAGTTATTCTGTGTCAGAAACCTATTATGTGTCAAATATTTAATTACAATCCAAATTCAGACCTGTCTCAAGCGCGAATATTGTGTCCATTTTTGCCTCAACTGTTCAGGGTTGGACCTCTGCGGTCGTATCCAACTGCGCTTGGGTAAGCAATTTATTTATCTTTAATTCTGATTTTCCTTAGATACTTCATTTGGCTCTGACAACCTGTTTTGGGTTTGATTTGCCTGATGTATTAAATATAATTTCAGAAGCTTATAATGCCCTGGATGTTGTGTACAATAAGGTTTTAATGACCTCACTGGAAGAGGAAGACTCTGAACAAACCGAAAAGTTAGAACAGGCTTCAGATACAAGCCCAACTAGTTATGCCAAAACCACACTTTCCTCTTTGCCCTCAGAACAGTCTACAGCAGCACTATCTCTACCACCTCAGAAATCCTCCAATGTGTCTTCCACGGTAAAACAGAAAACGAGAACCAGAATGACAAAAGAAGAAATAAGAAGGAAAATGGAAAAAGTCCTCAAAAGTGGGCAGTATAAGATGAAAGTTGGACGTCTTATCTTTTGGGATTTTGGTGGACAATATGTTTATTTAACAACACACCAGACCTTCATGACGTTCCGAGCCTTGTTTCTTGTAGTATTTGATGGGAGCAAAGATTTGCATGAACAGGTCCCTGATGTGATGTATTTTCCAGGGCAGCACATGACGCCAACTCCAGCAGGTAATATGCTTGTTATTGACACACGGATAATGCAAACAGGTCATATTTCTATAACAGCAAGGTGATAATTTAAAATTTTTGAAATTTGTCCTTTCAAAATAACTAAGTAAACTTAAATGTTTAGGTAATTTTTACGTTGTCACTTTAAGCTTGTCCCAAACTACCATATTAACCTCAATATGTCTCACATTTTGCAGCATTGATTTGAGGTAAGACAATAATATTGCCGTCAACATTCATCAATGATACCAGGTTTAAATTTTTGTACGTTAGACTAGTGTTTTGTTTACACTAACATGATCAGTTAAATTCGAATCAAATTGAGAGGCCAAATCATTAAGGAAGTTAGAGCATGAACAAAAAACTGAAAAAGACAGTGTTAAATTTTCAAATCAGTCAAGAGAACAATAGAATTACATCATGATATATTGTGATAAAGCGCTTTCCTGTAAATTTCTTTAGATTTTGAATGTATGAATTCTCTGAAAAAAGGAGCTGATGAATACTAACTACATTGATTTTATCATAAGTATAAACAGAGTGTTACACTTATTGACAGACAACACTGTATTTTTGTTGAGCCTGCGACTTTTGTCGCAAAAGAGAGACATAGCGATCCTACATTCTGTCGTCATCTGCGGCATTGGCGTCCACAAATATTCACTCTGTGGTTAAAGTTTTTTGAAATTTTAATAACTTTCTTAAACTATCCTGGATTTCTACCAAACTTGGACAGAAGATTTTTTATGATCATTAGATAGTATCCAGAAGTAAATTTTGTTAAAAAACAAGAGTGCACACGCTGAAATGTCTCGCCTTCTTTACTAATCATTGATATTATGTTGATAGTCCTAAATATAAAGCTTTATTACAACTGTCACATAAACTTAACATTAACCAAGTAAACTAAACATTGACCAATGAACCATGAAAATGAGGTCAAGGTCAGATGAACCATGCTAGGCAGGCATGTACAGCTAACAATTCTTCCATACAACAAATATAGTTGACCTATTGCTTATAGTTTAAGAAAAACAGACGAAAACACAAAAACTTAACACTGAGCAATGAACCTTGAAAATGAGGTCAAGGTCAAATAAAACCTGCGTGACTGACATATAGATCATAAAATATTTCCATACACCAAATATAGTTGAACTATTGCATATAGTATTAGAAAAAAAGACCAAAACTCAAAAACTTAACTTTGACCACTGAACCATGAAAATGAGGTCAAGGTAAGATGACACCTGCCAGCTAGACATGTACACCTTACAATCATTCCATACACCAAATATAGCTGACCTATTGCATGCAGTATTAGAAAAAAAGACCAAAACTCAAAAACTTAACTTTGACCACTGAACCATGAAAATGAGGTCAAGGTCAGATGACACCTGCCAGCTAGACATGTACACCTTACAATCATTCCATACACCAAATATAGTAGACCTATTGCATACAGTATAAGAAAAACAGACCAAAACACAAAAACTTAACTATAACCACTAAACCATGAAAATGAGGTCAAGGTCAGATGACACCTGCCAGTTGGACATGTACACCTTACAGTCCTTCCATACACCGAATATACTAGACCTATTGCTTATAGTATCTGAGATATGGACTTGACCACGAAAACTTAACCTTGTTCACTGATCCATGAAATGAGGTCGAGGTCAAATGAAAACTGTCTGACTTGCATGAGGACCTTGCAAGGTACGCACATACCAAATATAGTTATCCTATTACTTATAATAAGAGAGAATTTAACATTACAAAAAATCTGAACTTTTTTTTCAAGTAGTCACTGAACCATGAAAATGAGGTCAAGGACATTGGACATGTGACTGACGGAAACTTCGTAACAGGCATCCATATACAAAGTATGAAGCATCCAGGTCTTCCATCTTCTAAAATATAAAGCTTTTAAGAAGTTAGCTAACGCCGCCGCCGCCGCCGCCGCCGCCGGATCGCTATCCCTATGTCGAGCTTTCTGCGACAAATTTCGCAGGCTCGACAAAATTCCTGTTTATCCGTATTTTACTTATAAATGGACTTAGTTTTTCTGCCAGTTAACATTACATTCACTCTGTGGTTAACATGGTTAAAGTTTTTTGAAATTTTAATAACTTTCTTAAACTATCCTGGATTTGTACCAAACTTGGACAGAAGCTTGTTTATGATCAAGAGCTAGTATCTAGAAGGAAATTTTGTAAAAATTTATTTCCTGTTTTTCCGTATATTACTTATAAATGGACTTAGTTTTTCTTCTAGTTAACATTACATACAGTCTGCAGTTAAAGTTTTTAAAACATTTATAAGATTAATAAACCATCCTTGATTTTTACCAAACTTGGATAGAAGCTTCTTACAATCAAAAGATAGTATCTAGAGGAAAATTTTTAATAATTTTTTTCCCCATTTTTGTTGAGCCTGCAACTAACAGCAAAAGTAGGCGAGACACAGCTGGGTTCCGCAGAACCCTTATGAATTTTTTGAAATATGATTTTGAATTTGTTCTGGGAGAAATTATATTAAATGATTTTTGTTGAGCCTGAGACTATTGTCGCAGAAAACTCGACATAGGGATAGTGATCTGGTGGCGTTAACTAACTTCTTAAAAGCTTTATATTTTAGAAGGTGGAAGACCTTGATGCTTCATACTTTGTATATAGATGCCTTATGTTACGAAATTTCCGTCTGTCACATGTCCATTGTCCTTGACCTCATTTTCATGGTTCAGTGACTACTTTTAAAAAAAGGTTCAGATTTTTTTGAAATGTTAATGTATCTCTTATTATGAGTAATAGGATAAATATATTTGGTATGTGCGTACCTTGCAAGGTCTTCATGCTCATCCGACAGTTTTCACTTGACCTCGACCTCATTTCATGGATCAGTGAACAAGGTTAAGTTTTGATGGTCAAGTTCATATCTCAGATACTATAAGCAATAGGTCTAGTATATTTGGTGCATGGAAGGATTGTAAGGTGTACATGTCCAACTGGCAGGTGTCATCTGACCTTGACCTCATTTTCATGGTTCAGTGGTTATAGTTAAGTTTATGTGTTTTGGTCTGTTTTTCTTATACTGTATGCAATAGGTCTATTATATTTGGTGTATGGAATGATTGTAAGGTGTACATGTCCAACTGGCAGGTGTCATCTGACCTTGATCTCATTTTCATGGTTCAGTGGTCAAAGTTAAGTTTTTGAGTTTTTGACTTTTTTTTTAATACTATATGTAAAAGCCAACTATATTTGGTGTATGGAAATATTTTATGATGTATATGTCAGTCTTGCAGGTTTTATTTGACCTTGACCTCATTTTCATGGTTCATTGCTTAGTGTTAAGGTTTTGTGTTTTGGTCTATTTTTCTTGAACTATAATCAATAGGTCAACTATATTTGTTGTATGGGAGGATTGTAAGGTGTATATGTCTGTCTGGCAGGTATCATCTAACCTTGACCTCATTTTCATGGTTCATTGGTCAATGTTTAGTTTTCATGGTTAAGTTTGTTTCTTAGATACTATAAGCAATATAGGTCAACTATATTTAATGCATAGATTGATCGTTAGGTGTACATGTCTGCCTGGCATGGTTCATCTGACCTTGACCTCATTTTCATGGTTCATTGGTCAATGTTTTGCTTTCTTGGTTAAGTCTGTTTCTTAGAAACTATAAGCAATAGGTCAACTATATTTAGTGTATTGAATGATTGTAATGTGTACATGTATTTCTCGTTTGGTTTATCTGACCTTGACCTCATTTTCTAGGATCATGTTAAGTGTATGTGATAGTTGTAGTAAAACTTTATATTTAGGACTATCAACATAATATAAATGGTTAGTAAAGAAGGCGAGACATTTCAGCGTGTGCACTCTTGTTGTTATTCCTTAATCTTATTTTGTTAAAACTTTGTAGTAAATAGCTGCAAAACAAATGTTATCTTTAATTGTGTCAAAATATGTTTTTTTGTTGTAAAAGTAAGTTTACCAATGTATGGTAAAATTCACAATTAATGGCCTTGTCATTAAGCAATGTTAAAAAAAAAGGTTTTCCTATAGAAATTCAGATTGATTTAAATGAGTAAACCAGAAAACATATTTAATGTTAGAATGTTTACATACTGATTTCTCAAGGACTAAAAATAGTAGTTTTGATGAGAAGGATTTATCACATTGTATTTTAAAGGTGTTGCTTTACTTGAACCAAAACTGAACACATTTATATAGACAAAACATAGCATATGATATATTGTAGTTTGTCCATCCATCCATCAACATTTCATACAAAAATAAAAATTTCCTTTTTATCAGTTCTTATTTTTAAGCAAGTTTTAATTGAAGGAATAAAGCTTCATTTTGATTTATATGATTTTCAAATGATGTAATTCTAGAGTTTTTTCTTTGTTTATTTTCAGTTTTTACTTCTTTCTCTTTCTTTTTCTTTTTCTAAACTAATTTTGGAAATAAATCTTAGGAAATGTGGACTACTTTTCAATAATATTTCTTTGCTTCAAATGTCTGTTATGAAGTTCAGGGACACAATTATCGTCCTTTAATTTTCGTTGTCTACAAATAGAGTCCCTTCTGTGGACAGTGTATAACTTACAAAATTTTTCATACACTTTCCAGATTTATTTCTTTATATTTTATGCATAAATTGTAAGTACAGGATGAAATTACAATTAAAAAAAATTTCGGACATGAATTTGGTAAAGTAGTGATTTGGTCGAGTGGGAAAAGGTAAAAAAATAGTATATCTGAAGCTGTCAAACCGAATTATAGACCCCCTTAACCTAAAATTGTCCATATTTCGAGGTAGAGCCGATAGATTTTTCTATAATTTTGACATAATGTGCCCCAAAAGTAGTACACTACACTATAATAATCTTTTTTTGATAGTGAAGGTGCGATTTTTGTCGAGCCTACAACTTTTGTCGCAGAAAGTTCGACATAGGGATAGTGATCCGGTAGCGGCGGCATTAACTATC